ATACATTTCTATTCAATCGATGAACAAAAACGAGGGCGAATTTAAATATGTTCTGCCCAGCAGTTTAAACGTAAAATATTATAAAGCTCCTCCCTTAGTTTTATGCAACGTGCGCGTATTCTAAACACGTGTTTATTTTCTCATAGGAATATATGATTGTCTCCACTTCATCCGAAAAACCTCTTACGATTCTACATTTACTCCACAACCATCATATATCATCTGCGCTTTGTTTCACTAAATCTGTGGATTCAGCTCACAGGCTTTCCGAATTGATTAGAATATTTGAGATATTGTATTCGCAAACGTTGAAAAAAGAAATAAAAGAAATAGAAATAAACAATATTCAAAAAACAAATGAAAAATCAGATAATATTGATTTTGTTAGATCAATAGTTGCAGCAGAGTATTCCAGTGATCTATCCCAAGAAGAGAGAAAAAATATTTTAAACAAATTCAAGCATGGTGAAATTCAATTGTTAGTTGAATTCAAACATCATATTTGTGAAAAAATTCTCAGGACTAAATTTACTAATTTTAATTTTCAATGTTTATTATATTAGACTAATCTGCTCTGATTTGATCGCTCGCGGAATAGATATTGAACGTGTAGACACAGTAATAAATTATGATGTTCCTATATATATGAAAAAATATGTTCATCGTGTCGGAAGAACGGCTAGAGCCGGACGTAAAGGCGATGCATATAGCATTGTCGAGACTCAAGAGGTATTGTGTTAAAGCTATATGCCGCGGCTGAAGCTGAAAATTAGGGATCTCGATTTAAAATATAAACCCTACCAAAATCTATTTATACACTATTATTATCAAACTTACCCTAAATCTTAACCTGACTATTAAAATGCTTCTAAAAAAAGTTATTGAAAATTTCAGAATAAAGCATTTAAAATTTCCAGCTTCATCCGCGACATTATATATAACGAATTTGTGTATAATCAAATATAATGAAATATATTTCTCAAAGGTTCGGCACTTTAAAAATATGTTAAGAAAGGCTGGCCATCTAGATAAAATTAAAAATGTCAATATTAAGTCTATCAAACTAGAGCCTTTAATGGCCATTTACAAGGTAATTATCGTGAATTTTCATAAGACTTTATCAGATTCTCACTGAACTTTGCATTAATATATATTAGAAATCTTTGGAAGCATTTGGAGAATACATGGATCATCAGCCACAAAATATAAAGATAAGTTTTCTTCAATGGATACTAATGGGATTCAAGAAATCGGACAGGAAGACCAAATAATTGAATAAATATAGTTTATCCATTTTAACAGTTGCAGTCAGTGACTTTATTAGTAATTAGATACTTGTAAATCTTTGGAGTCGACCTTATACAAACAAAATTAAACACGATGTCATTTTGCTACAGCATGAAACGCTTTATATACACAATATTTAAGGATATATTCATTCCAGGTTTTGAAACTATTCCACCATCCATCAACATATTCTAGATTTTTTTTGAGTAATGCATGTGATTTACGATTTATAAAAGGCTCATGTTTTCTCAGAATCCATTGTACCTATGATTGTAATATCATCATTTTATTTTCTTAATACGTGACAAGTACACGTTAAAAAATGACGAATCTTTTAATCCTGTAACTCATGTAAAGGGGATCTGTTTTTGTAAAGGCGGGAAAAGACCGAATGATTCTCAGCATTCTCCAACGATAAATTGCTTATTAATAAAAAAGTGATAATGTAAAAAATATATATATAGAATACGAAAAAAAAATAGAATTTTCATAACTCTACGATCATGAATGGTGTTGAAGTTTGAAATAAATGTCGATGTTCCGAATCCTAATGAAATTGCCGAATGTCGATGTTCCGAATCCTAATGAAATTGCCGAAATTCCAATCAAAAAATAAAATAAAATCATCTACAGTATTTAGAACAGTTTAAATATTAATAATCCGAATCGTCATATGTAATAAATGTGAAGCTGTTTTGCACCTAATGTTGAAATATCAGCCTTTAGAAGGCACTTGAATTTACAGGAATAATTGCTAACGAATAAAATATAGATTTTGTAATTATTATACTATACTATATACAGTATATATTTTATTAAAGAAAAAGTAAAATTAGTAATAAAATTTTGGTTTATAGTTATTAATATGTAACAAGTGTTTTTAAGAGGTTCCAGGCAAGTATTTCAAATACCCAGCTGTTACTATATGCCAGGTGGAGTTGTAAGCTTAAATGGATGTAAATTATTATAATACAGTATATAAAAAGACACGTGATAGATATATTTTTTAAAAAAATATATATTTGCTATTTTTCTAACTTGGATAATAGAGCTTTTGTGAGTAAAGTAAAAATAGTAAGCCACAATACCAACAATAGCGATAGATAAAATTATTTCTGCCTAACTAGAAGAAAACCCAGTTGAAATAACTACCGTATATTACCGATTGAAAGCAACCCCCAGATTTTGGAGCCAAAAATTTAACTACGGTTATTATGTTCTACTAATAAAATTGTACTCGAAAAAGTTCTCATTTTTTTGCAACATTTTGGTTGCTTCTATTCGGTAATATACGGTAATAAAGTTTACAGATAGATTAGTTATTGTAGTAAATTTTAACTCTTTTTTATATTTTTTGTTTGTTTAATAAAAGAAAAAATACGTATGTTGAGGTTGTAAAGCAAATAACTACTGTAAATTAATATTTTTTTATTTTATTTAATAAGAAGACAAGCTATTACAGAGTAATATTTTAAAATAGCCTATATATATACTGTATACTATAAAAATTATTGTCTTTGTATATAACCTAAAAATATATGGAACAGTATATACTATAGTATTACTGTATTTTATTTTAGCATTTTTTAATAACAAGATTTCACATGTTAGTATCTGATTTTTATAAGAAAAATTAAAATCTAAATTATTTATTTATTCCTCGTTTCCTCTTATTTAATTTAGTTTCGACATTATCATTTGAAGTTTTTATCAAACTAGTAATATCACGACCAAGTTTCTTCAAAATAAATCTAGATCCTGATTTTATATCTTTTGCAGCAGCTTGTTCAATTTTCGGTA